TATTATTATTATTATTATTATTATTATTACTATTATTATTATTATTATTATTGTTAGTGTAAATCGAAATGCTTCTTCCGTTGGATTGATAAAATAAATTTTTGTGAGTACTTTTTGTGAGTACACGATGACTCACGATATAATTAATATTATTTAAAAAGATGATTGGTCATTGGTTTTGAATGATCATTTTTATCTACGATGTCTTGTAAAAGTTGCAATTTGCTATTATTATTAGATCTTAGTTATATAGTATACCATACAGACTGATATATTGTAAATTCATAGACAACAATCTTGCAGCAATTTGCAATATTTTTATGATTATTTGAGAAGAGAAGAATAAACGTTATATGAGATACTTATTATCCTATAACGATCAAATTATTTATTATCCTCTTGAAGTTCGACAATGAGATTTTTAGTACGAACATTTTTAATCCATTTATAAATTACGCTGCAGATACAGGATGTTACGTAAAAAGTGTCGTAATCACGAAATAAGTAAAGTAACTTAAAATATTGATTTCACACCTGAAGTTAGATTTTCTCCAATATTTTCACAACTTTGAAATACCGCGGAATCCGTAATTAATTTCATCAAAATCTACTTTGATACTACTATGAATCTAAATCAAAGTTTTATTCTCAATATCTAATCTTTAAATAACAAAATGCACTTTCACAACTTCGAATTAACTTGTTCGTATAAACCCGTAAGCTTCACTTTTCGATTTCGTAGTGATGGGATCAAGTTTGGTACAAGTATCAATCAAATTTAAGATCCATTTCACAATTTTTTCGAAAATTATTGGTTTTGGGCCACGGAATAACTCTACATAATTTCTACGAATTTCTAGATAGTTGAATAGAAACCTTACTTGCAAGTAATAATCAAATTATAAAAGTCACGTAAAATACAAAAGCGCTCGTAGAATTTCGAACTTATACTACTTAGAATTACTTTCTTCACTTTTTCTAAAATAAAATTGTTGAACTCACGTTCGCTTCAAATTATTTATCATTTCAAATCTAATTCTATCTCTTGAAACTCAGTTACAAAGAATTCAAATCCAATCGATTCAAATTCTCATCCTGTGCACTACTCTCTACGGAGGAAGCTGAAATAAAAAAACCAAGCGTCAACGAACGTACATACCGAGAGCTCAAAAATCAATCAGTCTTCGTTAAGAGTAATTTGCGCTATTAGTAATTTGCAACTATGCAAACATCCTTTCTTCATCCTCAATTTAGTTCTCGTAAACATAATCATTACAATATTATAACCAAACTGTTTTCATTGACTCACGAAACGTTTTGACAACGAAAGAATGTTTGACGACGCAAATCACTTTTAACAAAAAATGACTTGAGGTCAATGATGACTTAAGAAACGATTTTGATGAAATTTGGCATGAATCTAGTTTACAGAAAAATATTCGACTCGTATTTTTTTTTATCGGCAACGGTTTAAGGGGTGAAAACTACCCTCCAAGTTCGGGATGCGAAACATATTTTGTTAAATATTTCGCAAATTATTGAAAATTTGTGTAAATCAATGAAATTACTGTTTCTTAACAATAAATTTAATGGTGTATATACCAAGAAAATCTTTTGTTTAAACTATATATTTAAAAAACCCTATTTTTAATAAGTTTTTCCAAGTAGATGTTAACAAATTTTCTTGAATACTTGTTTATGAATACTACATATTCAAACACAAATTACGGATAAAGTAGAATCTTGATTTTTTCATTGTAAAAGAATTCATTATTCTCAAATCTTTCTCGCTGAACGTGCAAAGCAGGGTGTATACTAGAATTGTTCTCTGTTCGTAAATATGTTTCAAAATGTTGAACGATATCAGCAAGTGGTAAATTGTTTTCTCCTTCTATCTATAATGTTAAAAGCACATACAACAGGCAGTATCCAAATCCCCTAACATCACTATTGGAGTCTGCAAAATAAAGACCTTTCAAGAACGTAGCTGATAAATGTTCTTCTCCCTAATATATATCTGACAGCGCAATACTCTTATTCGATTCATGGATATAACGGGTATAACGAACAATTTGTTACCACTGACTGGCTTTCGAGCTCTCCGTATGATCATGTACATATTGTACATAAAGTAATTGTGCTAAAAAGAAAAAAAAAAAAAAAAAAGAAACGATACGAAAGCAAAGACCACGGGTCGAGCAGCGGCGTGTGCGTGCAAAAATCGTCGACAGCAACGGTGGGCCATCATTAGTACCTAAGGGTAGAATTGCTTATCGTTTTGACAGGGCGATTCAGACGCGGAGAGCGACGCCGGCGTCGGTGTGACGTACAAGGTGCGTCATTCGGCGGCAGCTTCGTGCCTTGCGAATTGCGCGACCCGCGACAAGGGTGCCTCAGCCGTGAGTACAGAGTCGACGTTGCCTGGTCGCCGTATTATTCCATCTCGATCGACTTCTTCTTCTTCTATATGTTTTATATTGCTCACGCTGTATACTTTCACTCTTTGTATGATCCTCGTGCGCCATATCTCTCTCTCTCTCTCTCTCTCTCTCTCTCTTTCTCTCTCTCTCTCTATATATATATATATATTCTCTGTTTGTCTTTTTATATTTACTACCCTGTTCACGTAATACCACTACTTTTCTCTCTTTGTCGCTCCTTGGTTCTCCTTTCGCCTGATGTCCGAAAAAAAAAAAAAAAAAAAAAAAAAAACAGAAAAGAGAAAGAAAGAACGCATGTTGCAGAACGCATGCAACAAACGCTGATCTCTGTGGCTTCCGGCCTGTGAACGCTCGAGAACTCTGTGCTCGTCCTCACCGCCTACATTTGTACTCTCGATCGGCCGTCGAGGGGCACTCACACTTGCATATTTTTTTCTTTTTTTCTGACGATTCGATCGTTTGACGTTCGATAGACGATGATTGATAAATGATTGTTACTGTAAATTTGTTGGGCTTTCAACCAACTTCGATTTCCTAGACGATTTTTACGCAGGTAAAATGCAGAAATATATAAAATATTCGAGGTGCGATAATCTTTGTAAGAAAGAAAAATTTCATCTTCAAATTTGTTCCCATCTCTGTGGCTGTGTACGTAAATAAAAATGCTAGACAAATTACCTACGTTCGCGGCAATTTATCAATCAACGGTCTATCCAAAGAAAGAGCACCAACAGTGCGTCGCTCGTCCGTTTGAAACGAACCAACCGCTGCTAACGCACTTCGCGACTAAAGTCCGCTCGTTTTCTCTTTCTCGAAACAGTACTCGGTAAGCCTGGGCGACGAAGCGCGAGATAACCACGCCCAGCAGATCGAGAGGGCAGAGATCGCGAACCTGGTACGTTCCCGGATGGAGTCGTTGAACTTGCCGGTGGCCGACTACGACGACGTCTCGGAGAAACGGAACAGCCTGTCCTACGTGATCATCAATCCCAGCTGCGACCTGAAGCTCGAGGAAGGCGACATCGTGTACCTGGTGCGACCCAGCCCGTTCTCCGCGCAGAAGACGTTCGAGCGGCACAACTCGAGGCGAAAGAGCAACATCAGCTTCTGCTCGGCCCAGTTGGTGTCCCAAATGAGCGTGGCGGTGGCCTCGGCCGGCCTGCCAGGAGCTGGGACTGGAAGTCGTCGAGGATCAGGCATCGGCCTGCCCAGAGCACCTCCTCTCAGCACCACCAAGTCGAATTCCCTGTCGCTGCCAGACAGTCCAACGGTGGCTGGCACTCTGCGCGGACGTTCCAACTCTCTGAGAGTGGTCGACGACATTCTACTGCGACGCAGCAACTCGCTGAGGCAGGGGCTGACGGTGAGCAGAAGGAAGAGCAGCTTGGAGGACATTGGTCTGGGTGCGCTGTCGCACCCGTCGAACCACAACCCGATCAAGATAGCGTTGAACGGATCCATCGGTCTGGAAGTGACCCCGCCCGAGGAAGGCTCTCAAACCGGCATGGCTACCAACACGGGGATCCTGGACGTTGGCCTGCCCTCCATGCCGGAATTGACCGCCTCTCTGGGGGGTGTGAACATAGATGCCGGCCTGGGTGGATCTCTCGGTGGACTGTACGATCCACCGAATCTTCAGGGGCCGCTCGGCTCGCAGTCGCCGCAGATCCAAGGCGGCACGCAGGATCCTCAGTACATACAGGGGACGATCGTATGATATAACCTTATGTGGGGACGCAGGCTCTCCGGCGTGGTGCGAAACAAATGGCTGTAGCGTTCCCACATGACACGTCAAGATCATTAAGATCAAGGGTGTTGACGCATCCTGATCGCCGACGATTTTGATGGGATTGAATGATGGTGGACGATGATTGACGATGATGTTCTCTTCTTGCGAGACGGCCGGAGAGCAAGGTGTTTCAGTGAAACGAGGAGGAAGCATGGATAACACTCAATGACCGACAGGTTTCATCACCTGTTACGGTGAAGAACAGCTTAGACGAATTTTTTTACTACGTTTTCTTCTACTTCTTGAGTTTAGCTTAGCGGCGATGGTACGGTTCGCAGGAACCTAATCGGGGACCTAAACGCGGCGTCGTCGAGTCGCGACTGTGATAGCGCCAGAATGCTGAACCTTCGTTTTGTATAAACCGAGGCAAGGAACTGGGCGTCGATCGTTATGGTACGGATCGTTTTAGGATTTAGATCGTCCCAAATCGCAAAGTTCCAGTTAGTCGAAAATAAATTACTCGGTAGATTTGGTTCGAAGTGACGGCTGATTGAATTGATTTTCCGATGAATTTAGTAAACCTATTGATAAGAATCCCACACAATCGTACACGATGCAAAATCACTTCATCCAAGTATCAAAATTAGCTGCGATTTAACTCTGCTACATTTGTTAGCTCGTTTCTGATATATTTGAAAAAAATATCTCGAGTTTAAACAAAATATTCAAAGAAATTTTATTGTATTATAAACTAAAAAATATTAAGACAATCTACACACGATTTCTTATTTTAGTTCGAACATCTTGAAGCGTTAAAAATCCTTTTCGTTTGATAAAACGAGAACAAAATATAAATATTCAAAAATTGCATTAGGCTTAAAGTTAGAATCAAAGTTATTTAAATAAGGGACGTGATGGAAGGAAAGTCACAAGCTGAATAATATTAAACATTCGATTAAAAATTTCGTTGAAAACGGCGCCCAGTTCGACCGACGTATAGTTGTTTCAACGAAGCTACGATACTGTTTTAATACTAATCCTTTGTTTGTAGATAGTGCTGATCACACGGTTCCGAGTAATCGCTATTTGTTGCGAGTTTCATTTAGCAAATATCCGTCAATATTAATTCTCACGGCGCGCGTAGCGAGCTATGTTCTTAAAACGTTTTGCTCTCTAGTCGACTCTGGCGTCTCGACCTCCGTGTCGGATCCGATCGAAATTCTCAGCGATTCAAAACGACCACGAACATCCTAGATCAGAGAAAACTCGCGATATCGCGTTATCGCCAGATGTCCAGCGACGCAGTATAATCAATTCGAGAAAATTATTCTAGAGCGGAGAAAATGAAACTTGCGACGATGGACAAGAATTAACGAATGATCTGCGTTACCCTCTGAACATTTAATTAAATATTGTTCAATATCTTTAAAAGTTCCTAGTTCCTCTTTACTTGTAAAAACTTTACATTAATTCGAAGTTAGTAACAACGACGTATACAAATTGATCAGAAATTCATTGAAAAGCAGAACAATATTAAGAAGCTCTCTGCACTACTTAGTTGTTTTCAAATAATGTATTAACCATTCTCAAATCAAAATAATTTCTATTGTTAAATATAAATATCAATACGTTGACGATTGCAATAATTGAATATTTTATCGTTTATCTTTGTAAATTTCACCTCACATTTACCTCAAAAAAGATTTGTATCACGAATTTACAAATATCCTATATATCCTGAATTTGCTGACTATCACTTTGTCGAATGAAGACAGATAATATACGTACATCGACACAGTTCGTACAATCATGTTTATTAAACGACATATGTGCAAAATAAATTCTTGTCCTTCGTCGCACGAGATAGTTGACAAAAAAAAAGTAGGTAAGAAATGAGAAACGTCTCCCTAGTGCAAACCCCGATTCTTACATAGAATCACGTTCGGGGGGAATGAACGTGAGATAATTTTATACTAGAACCAATTTACGACAAGAGTATATTATCTTATAAATATAAACACATGACCATTTCAATCATATCACGCGAGGAACACAGGAACACACCGATTGGTGAAAGATCATTATATGTGTACGTTAATAAGATGAACGAGATTTTAAATGATTATTAGAACGATCGAGCCGAAGTTTCGAGACCTGTCTGATCGGAGAATTAGGAATAAAGTTTCGCGTTCAGATTGGTCCATTCGAGTTCAAACTTGAAGAGATCAAACAACTCGAACGAAAATTAACAAGAACGAAAACTAAGTGGATATTGGTAAAATGATCTTTGATAATTGTCTGAGTTTAGACGAAAATTAAAGCAGAAGAGTTACGAATTCAAAGTAATAATAAAATTATATCATATTTGAACTTGAGTAAAAAGTTAAGAGCCGCTTGAACAATGTAACAACTCGATCATAAGAATACCAAATTATTCGAATAGGGCAACAATTTATCTGAAATTTCAAATCACCTGATTCGTGTGACAATTAAAATTGCAATTTAATTAGATTCGAGTAAAAGTACAAACGGCTCGAACGAAGTACAACAGGCAACTCGAGTGAAATTATAAATTGCTCAAACTCTTATCTGTGTGTCCATGTAACGACTGAGCAGTCTGAACGAAGCTTGACAAAAATTCTCCCGTCTAGATCTATAAACTTGGCGCGAAATAATCGAGTAATAAGTATATAAAGATGATAATCGTTTAGCCGTGAATGTAGCTGCGATTCGATCGAACGAGAGAGGTCACCCACCTTTATGCATACACGATCTTTACTTCTCTCCTTATGATTAGTTCGAAACGGGGCCGAGTCCTTTAGGTTCCTTAGGGTTTATTCGACTATTTAAATCAAACGTATTGTTTGTCCTTAGCGATGAAAGAAGAGGAGAGAGCGAGGTTTCGACAATCCGTTTAATCAGTTAGGTGAATACGGTAGGAACGTTGTTAGGAACGACTTGATTGTACCTATGTATTATATTTCTTGACTCGACGCTTCGAGCCGGTTGCAATCGTTTTTCTCGACCAATTTACACGTTTCTCCGACCAAATATGTCGTCTTATCGAGTACCTGCTTCGACGCTGCTTCCGCTACGCCGTTTCCTCGTTCAATTTATCAGCGATCAGATTAGCTTCACTTTTGGACACGATTCTGAAGAAAAGAGAAAGAATTCAGAACACTGAAGAATTATCTTCTGATAATAGTTTATAAAGGTATACGTTATTTAACAAAATTAATAATCCATTAAATTTGGCAAGAAATAAAGAATTGGATAATAACAACAAGGAGCTTTGAAACAAAATGATTAGTTCCATCTACGTTTGAATTGATAAATACCAATAATTGTTAACGAAGTTCTTTTTGTTTGGAAGATAAATAAAATTCCATAATAATTATTACAACTGTTATTAGTTAGGTAAAGCTCCTCAGTTATTAAAATGTTCAAATTTTATACGTGAAAACTTTGTC